TCAACCAGATGCCTTTGTTCACCTATAAATACATTGCTAAGATTGACAATTAAAATCAATCATACTAATCACATATATAGTTAATTACTCTTGTGTCACCACAAAATTTGGAAGAGAAAATGGAGAAGGCAACATTCCTTAAGGTTTTCTTGGTCTCTGTTTTGCTTATGTTGTTTGGTAAGCAATTTTCATATTTATTGCAACTTATACTCTAGACTAGATTTTGTTTGTTCATTTTTTTAAATGTTTGATGTTGTTTATAAAAAATCTTGTGCACATCACTGACTTGTTCGACAAGGTCATCGATTTTGGTAGGCTTGAACAAGAAAATTATGGCAAATCTTTCAGTTGTTCACTTTTTCAAATGTTAATATTTTTTTTATGAAAAATCTTGTGTACGTCACTAACTTGTTCAACAATGTTGTCCATGTTGGTAGGACAAGGAAATTATGATAATTCAGTTGTTTGTTCACTTTTTCAAATGTTGATGCTGCTTATGAAAAATCTGGCATACGTCACTGACTTGTTAAACAATGTTATCTATGTTCGTAGGACAAGGAAGTCATGTGCAAGGAGAATGTACTAGCGATGCCGATTGTGCTAAGGTTATGAAATGCATAGAAGCAGAACCCATATGTGACTTGACAAGCCATCAATGTGTGTGTCAACGAAATCCACCAACTAATTATGGAACAAGAAACATTTACAAGACTCACCAGAATTGATTTTATTATGTTTTTCAATTCCTTAAGATTCAATAAAGATCTCTTGTTTTCATATTAATCATGTTGGAAAAGGGTGTTATTTGCGCGATATATTTTGTCTTAAAAGTAATTTCTTCGATCCATTTATGTTTTATGAGTTTTAAAAGAATCAAGAATGTTGAAGAACCCCTAAAAATGGTCTTAGAAGACAGACTATTTAGTGTTAAATAATCGATCGGAATGCACATAGGTTTTTCAATAGTCAATAAGTTGTAAAATGTCAAACACTGAAGTAGATGTGTATAATTAAAGTAGATGGCATAATTTTGCTAAATTCATATACATTGTAAAACATTGAAGCATACAAATAATTCACAAGAACAAGTAGCTCTTAAGTAAATGCCTATTTTACAGTGTCAAGTTCCAATAATGTGAACTTATATTCTTTCCCTATGACTGAGATAAATCTGCAATTTCCTTTAGTGGCTTCCACATGAACTTTCTCCTGTACATGCCATGAATAGAATAGTCATGTAAAAGTAAAGGATATGGCAGCCCGGTGGACGAAGGATCTTGTATCCACGCAAGGTGCAGGAAAGGGCCGCAGTTCAAGGGGATGTAAATAGAATAGTTATGTAATGAACATATATTCAAAAATTAACATGAGCATGCACCTCTTGAATAGAAGGGAATTCAATTCTCAAAAAGATGAACAACAAGAACATATTCAGTGTAGTCCCACAAATTGGGGTATGGGGAGGGTTGAGTGTATGTATACCTTAGCCCAACCTCAAAAGTAGAGAGGTTGTTTACTATTGACCTTCGGCAATTCTAAAAAGATGAAAAAAAAGAAAACCAAAAGATGCTATCTTTATTAAAGTACTTGTCCTGACTCTTGCATCTACAAGCTAAGAATGATGATAAAGTATGTAGCATTGACCACAGAAGGCTAAACTGAAGTAAATCCAGGTAGCTTTTGCATACAATGTTGTTTTAACCACAACGACAAGATCTCAAAGTTTCCTTATTTACAAGAGAGTTGATTGATAAACAAGAAAAAGGAAGATGAAAGGAAAATCTTACCAGTTACCACACTCTGCAATGACCCTCACATTAGGACGAAGTGTCGGGAGTAAAGCAAGAAACTGCAGCTCTGCCTTTGATAAGACCTGAACATTTTAGGTCAAACAGTTAACAAAGGTCTAGTCAAAATACTGCTGACGGACTAATTAGATGATGTACACTTGAAGGGGTGGATTTAACCTTGGCTTCTATTATCCAAACCACTAATCCTTTAGCATCCGGAGGAAGTAAAGAAAGCCTATAATCAACTTCTGGAGGAAAATACCATCTAGCTATTGGTTGCTTACCAACATGAGCCTGCAACATCAAAATTTGCAGATGAGAGTCAATTAGACACTGCAAGTTAGTGTTGAGAATAAGCATATCGTATGCGAACTGCTAAACTTACAGGGCAGACAGGGTGGAATTTGGTAAGAGTGGTTTCAGGGTCACCGAGGCCACGAGCCGAAAGGTCCAAGAAATGATATCCCTGGTACTTAAGACGTGTAAGGTAGCGTCCTTCATAGCCCCCTTCATGAGGAGAGTAAATTGCTATGGCTTTGTGTTCTTCCACATCTGATAACCATTGACCCAAATCAGGTTTAATGAGATCTCCACCTATGAAGTCCTGAAGTTCAATGTTACATCTAATTGCTCCTTTCTTTTGTCTTCCAACTGAATCAAGTCTTCTCGTTCTCACAGCCTTTGATATGCCATTTAATTGTACTCGTTGCCTCTGCAGACCATAAGACTGCACTGCCCCTTGATAACAGGCTGCATTTTGCCATTTTAATTCAGATTTCATGGTACATGACCGAAAGAACAAAGGCATCATAATGAAAAACATTGAACGTTAAGACATCACTCTCAAAATTTAATTAATGCGAACAGGATAACAGTATCATTTTGGTGCTGCAAGTGTGCATTTCCACATGTAAAAGGTAGAAAAAGTTATAAATAAGTCATTTTCCAAAGAGAACTGATAAGATTATGTTACAGGGAGAACTGAAAGGGTGCCTACTGTAAGCAACTGTGAAACTCGAGAACCAGAAGTCAGTTTTTACCATTGTCAACAATGGCTAGAAACATTGCCAATGCACTGCTTAATGTGACAGTGCATAACAGTAAGCACAAACATTTTCAGCTTTATAGACCAATATTAGGGAAAGTCTGGATTTCATACCATGTAAAACAATAACAATCGGGAACAAATGTGAGTTGGAGCTGAATCTCTACTCACCCAAAAAACAAAACTTCAAAACATAATTAAGTAAATGTACACTTTCACTACCTACCCCACTAATATTTACATATAACAAGCTGGAATCACCCATTATGATATCAAGTCTTGATCTTTTTAGTTCTTTAACCATCACCCTAATTTTGTAACAACACATAATAGCAACTAAGCATACATCTTCACACACACGCACACCGTGATATTGAACTATAAATCTGAAAATTGGGAACAAATGCGAGTAGAAGCTGAATCTCTACACACCCAAACCATAGCTTAAAAACAGAATTAAGTAAAGTGTACATATCACTCCCTACTCAACTAAATATTCACATTGAACAAGATTGAATAGTCCATTAAGTTAAGTCTTGATCTTTTCAGTTCTTTAACCATCCCCCTAATATCAAGATATTATAACAACACATAATAGCAACTAAACGTTATACATCTTCACACACACACACACACACCATGATATTGAACCATAAAGCTGAAAACTGGGAACAAATGTGAGTTGAAGCTGAATTTGTACACAACTTCAAAACATTATTAAGTAAAATGCATACTTCCACTCCCTACATAACTTAATATTTACATTTAACAAGCTTGAATCAACCATTAAGTTATCAAGTCCGTAAAGATATTGTCATCCGGACCTAACTCAATCGCAAAACCATACACCCTCCTTCACACTTAGGCCCCTTGAGAGCGAGAACCAAAAGCTCACACCGGGAATGAACCTGGTACTCATACCATGTAAAATTAAGTTTTAGGCCTATCTAAACTACCTCAAAGGTAGGAGGTGCTCAAGCCTTAACCACCAATATGAACCCCTTTTTTAAAAAAAAATAAAAATTAACACCCCACCTCACACAGATGCAATATTATTACAAAGTCTTGATCTTTTCACTTTTTTAGTGATCACCCTAATATCAAGATATTGTAACAACCCATAATATCAATTAAGCATTATAAATCTTCACACTGCGCACACACACAGAGAAAGGGGTTATTGGGGATGACCTGAAGAGGAACAGGGTTGGTCTTCAGTGGAAATATTGGGGCGCCGCCGGCAAGAAGACCCATTGCTAGTAATCAAGAACCTCCTAGTGCTGCTGCTGCTGCTGGTGGTGCTAGGGAAGGTGTAGGAGAGAGTTGTCATTTGGGTATTTTGGTGGCAGTGTGTGAGTGGTGGCAGTAGGCAGCTATAGCAACAGAGACTGTGGAAGGACCATTGCAAACTTGGACAAAGATGACTACTTTGTTCCTTGCCACTCAATAAATGTGCTGATAAACTTTACAATAAAGAAATTACAAATAACAAATATTTAAATATGCATAATAATATTAGCTATATAAATTTATGGGATAAGTTCTATATTTTAAAAATTGAAATGATGTTTTGGGGAGAATTTAAAATTTGAGATAACATAATCTCAAATTAGTTATTCAAATTTTAATTTTATATTGTATATTCAAACATAGCTAGAATAATAATCATAAGGTGAGAGTTCAAACTCTATTGTAACTTTTTTAATGAAATAATTTTGTGATTAAAAAAAAACAAAAGCCAAACTAAAACCTAATTTATATATTTTGGATTGAAAATCCAAAATCCAAGTAAAGATTGTGAAATTTCCAAACATCCTATTTAATTGCATAAGTTGTCCTTCAATTAAATTATTTTTTATTTTTTTATATTTTGAATTTTTAAAATAAAACGAAGTTAAGTATTCATTGTAAAATTCATAAGGAGTAAAAATGTTCACCATGGATAAAATATGAATTGTGGTACGACCATTAACATCTTTCGTAATAATAACTTGTAAAAATTTTGAGACACACAATAAAACTCCAAAAATAATTGAAGCACCCATACCTTATAAGACATAAGTTGTTTAAGATAACGAAATATAACCAACACTCAAGATATAACTATTTTAAAATATAAATTACCAGTGAAAGTATCATTTTTATATATAGTATTAATATTAAAATATAAAAACTAAAACCAGCTCTGTTGTAAGAGGGAAAATAAAAAAGACAAACTTTAGGGCTTTTCATATAGTAATCTCCCTATCAAAACCTCAAAGATTTCCCATTTCTGCAAAACCCAAATGGAATCCAAAGAAGACGAAGCCTCCCAAAACGGAGCAAACCCCTGGAAATTCAGTCCATTTCAAGCAAAGATTCAGTTTTGTCAATGCCTAAGCTTCCTGCAGAACTCATCACTGAAATCTTGTTAAGGCTTCCGGTGAAATCCCTTTTACAATTCAGGTCTGTGTCGAAATCTTGGCTTTCCTTAATCTCTATCCCTAAATTTGTGAAGACGCATCTCTTATTTTGTGCTAGTAACAAGGAGTTGTGTTTAAGGTTGCTATTTATGTTGGCTAGTTATGTGTAGTGATTTACATCACCATTCTGTAAAGGAGGTAATTGACTTGGATTATCCAGGTAAAATTTCCAAAGACTATCCTTGGCTTGTGGGTTCGGTAAACAGATTGATTTTTGTTGCCTATGTAACAAATTGCATGACTTGTTTATATGGAATCCGTCAATTAGAAAGTATAGCAAGTTGCCTAGTTATAGACTTAATCGATGTGGTGGATATCAAGTGGAGGAACCTGGGGATAGCAGATTTGGTTTTGCGTTGATGTGCTTCAAGATGATTACAACGTAGTGGGAGTTTGCCCTGTTTACAAAAATATGCGTCTATGTCGTGTTGAGGTCCAGATATATTGTCTAAGGATTTTATGGGAGGCGTATTAACGGAGTTTAAAGATAGATTTTTTTTCCATTTTCGGGGTAAGCTTGTGTAAGGGAAACTTCATTGGATTGAAATGGGCATGAACATTTCTTCTATTGATTTGTGTGATGAGAAATGTGTAGAGATAGAAAAGCGCTGCAATTTTAACTTTAATGATTATGGTCATTTCGTACTAGGAGTGCTTGGAAGTGATCTTTCTGTGTTCTGAAATTACATGCAGGGTGCAGATATCTGGGTTATGACGGAGTATGGAGTTGAAGAATCTAGGACAAAGTTGTTTACTATCAAGTCTCATAATGAATTTATTACAATGTTTGTAGGGTTTGCCCCTTTTTTGTCAAATGGTGACATTTTGCTTGAAATTGAATCACGTTTGGGGAAATATAATCCATAGAATGACTCGATCAAATATCTAGAGGTTACTAACTTTGCTCCATATGTTGAGGCAGAAATCTACGTTAAAAGCCTAGTTTATCTCCTTTTTTAGAAGTTACTATGCCTGCAATAGCAACGGAGGTTCAAATACTCAGATGAAGACACCCATGTGACTAATAACCTGTAAGAGTTGCATTCTATGTATTTTCTGAAGTGTTGTTAAATTTTGTTTCCATAATACTTGTGATCTTGTGAGTCATTTTCCTTTTATGATCTATTTTCAGAAAACGATAATCTTTTGCTAAAGCAGTTGTTTTTGTTGTATTACTTGGTCTCATGAACTTATTTTGAGTTGTGTTGTAAGAGGGATGTTGTGCCTATAGATAGAGTAAGAATAGAACAATAGAGGTTATAGGTTTTGTTTTTGGAACCATTCTCTCATATTCTTCTTTAGGTAAAAGCTTAATTGGGCAAAGGTTTGATCAGATGAGTTAGCTAGTACTTGTATTAGTGGGAGATAGCAGATACCAAGTGGAATAGCCGAGGTTAGGGGTGGCAAAAGGTTGGATTGGATCAGATTTGGATAGATTGAATATGGGTTGACCAAAAGTGGTTTGGATTACAATCCAGTAGATTGAATCCACCCAAATAGAATATGGGCAAATATGGTTTAGGTAAAATGGTTCCAACCCATTTTAAAAAATCTGTTTTTCCAAAAAAAATAATTTAACCCCTCCCCGGGGCGCCCCCCCCTCCCCACTTTCCTCCAACCTAAACTTAATTTTTTTTTGTAAAATCTATTTTTGCAAAAATATAAAATTTACCCCCTCAGCCCCCCACCCCGCGCCACCCTCCAATGACTGACCCTTAAATTATTTTATTTTCCAAAAATAAAAAAAAAACTGTTTTCCTCCCTCGGGCACCCCCCACCAAACACTGCCCGGCCCCCATCTTCCACCAACTCACCCCTAAATTTTTTTGTTTTCCAAAAAAAAAAAAACTCTCTTTCAAAAAAAAAGTTACCCCCTCCATTCGGGCAACCCACCCATGGTTAGCACTAGTACCAACCTTAAACATAACTGTGGGTGTAGTCCTTGTTACTAGCGGATAATAAGTGATGGTTCTTCACAAATTCAGGTCTAGAGATTAAGGAAAGCCAACCCTGAATTTTAAGAGGATTTCACCTGAAGCCTTAACAAAATTTCAATGACAAGTCACTCTACAGGAAGATTAGGCATTGGAAAGATTGAATCTTTGTTTGAAGCAGATGGAAACTGACCAGGGTTTTTGGGGTTGCTCCGTTTTGGGTTTCGGGAGACAACTTATCTCCTTGGAACAAGATTACAGTGACAGATTGTACATGAAGATTAGGCATTGGCAAGACTGGATCTTTGCTTGAAATGGATTGAAATTGAGCAGGATTTTCGGGATTGCTCCGTTTTGGGTGTCGACAGATGGCTTCATCTCCTTCTCGTCGGGACAAGATTTCAGTGACCAGCTCTACGGGAAGATCAGGCATTTGCAAGACTAAATCTTTGCTTGAATTAGATAGAAATTGAGCAGGGTTTTCGGGATTGCTTTGTTTTGGGTGTCGAGAGACAACGTCATCTCCTTGGACAAGATTTCAGTGACAAACTCCACAGAAAGATCAGACATTGGTAGGGATGGCATTCGGTAATTCGGTTCTTACAATAGTTGTACCGAATACCAAAAAGAATTATTTCTGTTCGTTTTTTTCAATTCAATTTGGTTTGGTTGATTCGGTTCGGTTTTTGTTTAGACACTGGTCATGATTGAAATTGATGGTCGCTGGTTGTTGGTCGGCTGCCCTGGTCGCAGCGCTGGTCACGATGTCCAACTTGGAAAATGGAAAGTTGGTTCTTAAAAGAGAAGACAAAGGTGCGGTGGAAAATCAGAAACAAAAACAAAAGTCGAAACTTTTAAATCTAATGCTAGTTGGGTGTTGGCAGTTGTTATTTGCTAAGAATAAAAAAAGAAATAAAATTTAAAAGACAAATTGATATAATATTAATAATGATAATATAGTATATTCGGTTTACCGAAATTACATACCGAAATATAAAAAAAATCGACTTGGTTCGATATTTATGCTCAGGCGTTGGCAAGACTAAATCTTTGCTTGAACTAAATGGAAATTGAGCAGGGATATCGGGATTGTTCCGTTTTGGGTGTTGAGAGATGACTTCATCTACTTGGGACAAGGTTTTAGTGACAAAATCTACACAAGCTCTACAAGAAGATTAGGCATTGGCAAGACTAGATCTTTGCTTGAAATGTATGAAAATTGAGCAGGTTTTCGAGATTGCTTCGTTTTGGGTGTCGAGAGACCGCTACATCCCCTTGGGGTTCCATTTCGGTTGTAGAAAAGGGATATTTTTAGGAGTTCTCAGTATGGAAATTACTATATGAAGCCCTAAATACATCCTTTTTTTCTTTTACAACTACTTTTTGGGTCATTTACACCTTTGAGCTAATTCTAATTTTTTATCTTTCAATCTAAATCATATTTTTGCGGTGTATAATTTTTGCATTATTATATCTAATTAGTTATGCCTTGTGATTTTAATAACTTATGTCGTACTAGGTATAAATTTGACTTCTAAGTATGAAAAGTAAAAATCAATATTTTTGAAGAACAAATCGTGAAATTAAATGTAGTGTCTCTGTAAGGGGAAACATTCATTGTTTTTACTAGAGTAAATACATCAAACCCCCTTGAATGAGTTAAATGATATACATGGTGCTTACCCTAGTAAAAACAATGAATGTTGCCCCCTTCCAGAAAACACTGCATCTTAATTGCACGATTTGTTCTTCAAAAGAATTGATTTTTACCTTGAAATCAAATTTATACCTAGGAAGGCATAAGATTAAAAGCATGGGACATAATTAATAAGATATTATAATGTAAAATTATACATCGCAAAAATGGATTGAGAGATAAAAATTAAAACTAGCTGAAAAGGTGTAAAGGACCCAAAAAGTTGTTGTAAGGAAAGAAAGACAGAAAATTAGGCCTTCACATGGTAATCTCCGTGGTAAAAACTCCCACATATTTTCCCTTTCCGCAACCCAAATGGAATCCCAAGGGGATGTAGCGGTCTCTAGACACCCAAAACGGAGCAATCTCGGAAACCTGCTCAATTTCCATGTGTTTCAAGCAAAGATCTAGTCTTGTCAATGCCTAATCTTCCTGTAGAGCTGGTCATCGAAACCTTGTCCAAAAAGATTAAGTTGTCTCTCGACACCCAAAACGGAGCAATCTCGGAATCCCTACTCAATTTCCATCTGGTTCAACCAAAGATTCAGTCTTGTCAATGCCTAGGGTTTGGCATAAGTATCGAACCGAACCAATTTTTTTTTGATATTTCGGTTTCAATATGTAATTTAGGTTTAAACAAAATAATACTATTTTATCATTATTAATATTATATCAATTTGTTTTTAAGATTTTAATTCATTTTTTATTCTTAGCAAATAACAACTGCCAACACCCAAACTAGCATTAGGTTTACAAGTTCCAACTTTTGTTTCTGATTTTCCGCCGCACCTTCGTCTTCTTTTTCAAGAACCAATTTTCCATTTTCAAGATGGACATAACGTCCAGGGCGGCCGACCAACAATTTCAACCGCGTCCAAACAAAAACCAAATTGAATTTTGAAAAAACAAACTGAAATGATTCGGTTGGTATTCGGTACAACTATTGCAAGAACCGAATGCGGCATCCTTACCATTGCCTAATCTTCCGGTAGAGTGTCACTGAAATCTTGTCCCAAGGAGATGAAGTTGTCTCTCTACACCCAAAACGGAGCAATCCCGAAAACCCTACTCAATTTTAATCTGTTTCAAGCAAAGATTCAGTCTTGCCAATGTCTGATCTTCCCGTAGAGCTGGTAACTGAAATCTTGTCCCAAGGAGATGAAGCCATCTCTCGACACCCAAAACGGAGCAATCCCGAAAACCCTGCTCAATTTCAATCCGTTTCTAGCAAAGATTCAGTCTTGCCAATGTCTAAGCTTCATGTAGAGTCTGTCATTGAAATCTTGTCCCAAGGAGATGAAGTTGTCTCTCGACACCCAAAACGGAGCAATCCCGAAAACCCTAGTCAATTACCAGCTGTTTCAAGCAAAGATTCAGTCTTGCCGATGCCCAATCTTCCTGTAGAGCTCGTCACTGAAATCTTGTTAAGGCTTCCGGTGAAATCCCTCTTACAATTCAGGTCTGTGTCAAAACCTTGACATTCCTTAATCTCTAGACCTGAATTTGTGAAGAACCATCTCTTATTATCCGCTAGTAACAAGGACTACACCCACCATAGAGTTATGTTTAAGGTTGCTAGTAGTGCTAGCCATGGTATCAGAGACTGTTCTCTTAGTTCTTTACTTCACCATCCTGTAACGGAGGCAATTGACTTGGATTATCCAAGTAAATATCCCAAAGACCATCGTTATCCTGTGATTGTGGGTTCTGTCAATGGATTGATTTGCCTTTCCATTAGTCTATTTAACGGAGTACAAGAATTGTATCTGTGGAATCCATCAATTAGAAAGTATAATAGACTGCCTAATTATAGAGTTCATCGACCCCGTGGTTACTGTTTGGAGGAACGCCGTGGTAAGTGCAACTTTGGTTTTGGATATGATGAGCTCAAAGATGATTACAAGGTAGTGGGCATTTTCCCTGTTTACAAACGTATGCAGCTGTGTCGTGTTGAGGTCCATATATATAGTCTAAGAAGTAATTCTTGGAGACGTATAAACGACTCTGCTTTGGATTTTTTGCATGTTTCGGGCAAGCTTGTGAATAGAAAACTTTATTGGCTTCAAACCTGCGGGAATATCAGTTCTATTGACTTGGGTAATGAGAAATGGACAGAGATAGAAAAGCCTTCCAATTTTAAGGAATATGGTCATTTCGTACTAGGAGTGCTTGGAAGTGATCTTTCTGTGTTGTGTAATTACAAGAATTGTCATGCAGATGTTTGGATTATGAAGGAGTGTGAAGTAAAAGCATCTTGGACAAAGATGCTTACTATCTGTGCTGAAAATGACGGTATGCTACATATACGTGAACCACCCTTGTTAGTGACAAATGAAGGTGATATTTTACTTGAAATTGGATCACGTATGGCGATATATAATCCAAAGGATAATTCATTCAGATATCTAGATGTTACTAACTTTGCTCCATATATTGAGGCAGGAATCTACATTAAGAGTCTAGTTTGTCCCTTTTCACACAAGGGACAACGCATGCAAAACCAACGGAAGTTCCTCTAACTTAGATGACGACAACCGCGTGTCTAATAACATGTAAGAGTTACATTCTATGCATTTTCTTAAGTGTTGTTCAATTTTGTTTCCGTGTTGCTTGTGGATCTTGTGAGTCATTTTCCTTTCTGATCTATTTGCAAGAAACGATATTCTTTTGCTAGAGCAGTTATTTTTGTTGTATTACTTGGTCTCATGACTTCAAACTGAATGGTACTGGTCCTGGACATAGTTTTTCTTCTTAGGCAGTTTACGTTATGGAAGAAAGACATGTATATGTGATATTAGATATTGTCTAGTGCTAGTTATATATGAAATGAACTAAAGATATATTTTACTATTCTAGGGGATTCTAATAGACTAGAAGTCCTTCCGGCCTCTTGTGACTGTGAATTGAATAAGAGGGATGTTGTGCGTATAGAAAGAGTAAGAATAGAGCACCAGTGACGGAATCTGTTGATCACTTGTTTTTTGCACTGTCCAGTAGCTACTGGTGTTTGGAACATGTTTTGCATTCTCTTTGGCCTGAGTTGGGTCATGCCAAAGAACATGAGACATGCACATTACAGTTGGAGTTTATGGAAGCTGATAAGGCCATCAAGAAAATCTGGTTGATGATTTTACCTCTAATGTGTGGTTTGCGAGCTATTGCATGGGAACGGGGATTTTATCCTGTGCACACCCAAAGGGTAGCGGCTGCAGATTTCCCTTGACCTTAAAAAAACTCTGGTTGATGATTCCTGCTACTATCTTTTTGTGTTTGTGGACAGAAAAGAACAAGAGATGTTTTGATGCCATCTCAACTCCAAATCACTTTCTTAAAGCTAAATGCTTGCTTAACCTTTTTTCTCGTCAAAGTTGACCCCAGTCGTTAGTGCTGGACATTTTCTAGACTTTGTTCGCAACCCTAGTTCTAGATTAACACTTTGTCTAGGAGCTGAACTGAGCTAAAAATTCCTTTTTCTCCTTCTGTTACTTGTATCTTTGCATCTCCTTGATGCTATTTAATGAAACATCTATCTTCATCCCAAAAAAGAAAAAAAAGAGAATAAGAGCACCTGTGATTAGGAAACTGTGGTAGTCGATTGCACCAATGATCCCTGGTTCCTAGGTTTTGTTTTTGAATCCATTCTCTAACTATTCTTTTTTAGGTAAAATCTTTATAGGGGAAAGGTTTGGCAAGATGACTCATCTAGTACCTGTTGTGTTAGTGAGAGATAGCATCATGCATGTACCCAATGAAATAGTTAAGGTGACCATAGTAGGAAACAGAGGAATCATTTATCGAAGCTTAAGTACTGAGATAGTATCTAGTGCTGGTGCTTCTCCTTGCTGATAATAGCTACTCCCAAAGGCCACATATTTTGTTCTGGACTGTTTGGTGTTTTCTCGCTACTAATAGCTACTTCCTTTGTTCCTATTTACGTGACATACTTTTTCTTTTTTCCTTCCCAAAAAGAATGTAATATTCTTTATTTTTGAACAGTTTAACTTTAACTTTGTATTTACGCTTAATGAAATGTTTTATAGATACACAAATAGCTATGCCTTGTTTTACACCAAGTCTTGCTTTCTTAAACTTTGTGCCCGGTCAAGCACCACCATATAAATTGGGACGTAGGGAGTAACTTTATATTTTTCACTGCAGAATGATCTTATTCTTTCACTTTAGCTGTAATATTGATGAAACGAAGTATACATTGCAAGGCGTAATCAGTTCAGGGTGCTAATTTTGCTGCTATGATCATGAGAGTTAGGTTGAGCGTACAGAAGAATTTCGGAATATAGGAGAAACTGAATTTGGGGAAGAGCTTTGTTTAAGAGGGCCTTGTCTATTCTAATGTAGAATAAAAAGTGTTGTCATCTTTGTTATTTTGAACAAGAATCATTTCCAGTGTAGTTTATTCTTTTATGTTCTGAACAACCCTAAAATTGTGTCTGTAATTTGTATTTTGAGTCTCAGGATACTTGCGTTGGTCGGTCTGAAGGATCCTTACTCTTTGTGGAGAGGCTCAACAGCTGGTTCAGGAGCGCACCTCCAGCCGTTATCACTATGAGTATGACTACAAAGTTATTCAACAAAGAGTCAGAAAAGAGTACTTAGAAGACGGTTCGAGTATTGTTTACAGATTAATGAAGTGTATCTCTTTCCAGAGCACAATACAGAGAGAAAACTATGAAACTTTGCTGTTTTTATGTGCAGACAGACACTTGGTTTTCTTCTCCTATGTTTTATTATCTCAAATCTATTAAGTACTGGATTGTTTCTTGATTTTTTTCATAAAATTGCGTACTTCTTTATTCTTTTTTTGTGAAGTGAATGATAAAAATACTAAGTGAAAGTTTGATTGAAGGGTATATATGTCATTCACCCTTGCCAACGAAAGGAAGGAGTAGGTCAAGCTTGTTGCACCGAGTGTGGTTTGCTAATTATTGCACAGAAGCAGGGTTTTACCTCATGTGCACCCGCACCCAAAAGGATAGTGCCTGTGGGGTTCAATCTTATTTGTGTTATTTTTATATGGGAGAGGACCATTATTGGGACCCTAAGACGCAACTATTAAGCTCAGACAATATTTATGCCCTCTACCTCTAATTTTGAATGCCTTAAACCATTTTAAATCCATTATCTTTAGACAAGAATTTAATGCAGAAATTCAATCATATGCAAAAAAAATAATTTACTGCTGATTCGATTTAGCTACAAATTTTTCTGACTAGGTTACAAAATTTTTTAGTCGAAGCAAAAATCATGATGAATCCATTAGACTTTATGATAAATAATGATACTGAAAGATTGGAATTGGGCTTATCTCCTTCACTTAACAGAAAGCCATGAGGAATATTATCTTATCCAGATCTTTTAACAAACAAAACAAATAATTTGACAAATGTCTTATTCAGATTGAAATAGAAGGAATCTTTGGGCCATCAGCATTATACTAGACCACTTTACAGCAGGTAGGATTTTAAACTAAAATTATGGTGCACGTGAATTCATGATCTTTCTTCAAAACTCGGTATTTTTCATGTATTTTCTAGAATTAATTTGTATTATTTGTTGATACTCATGCATTTGATATCAATTCTCACTCACTACTTCCCTTTCGTAGTGGTGCAGCATGTTCTAAAAATCCTAAATACGCGTTTGCTTTACAGCACCAAGTTGTAACACTGTTGCTCTGTTGGCCTTCTCAAGTCTCCTCTCTTGTAAAAAAATCCTCTCTTTTACTCTCTGAGATTCAAATATGTTACCTTATGCTATGCATATATACTTGTATGTGATGCACACTGGTATTTATAACATGTTTTATGGTCAGTTCTACTGTGTACATTGAACTAATCAAGAAGATAATTTTCATTTGTTTCATTTTTGTTATTATTCTTTCTTGTGTTGTTGTGTAACGTTTTTCATTTCGACTAATTTGTTGTTGTGATTACTCCCATACTATATTTATCCCAAACTATTTGGCTGGTTTCATTTAAGTTGAGGGTTTATCGTAAACAACCTCTCATAGAGGTAGAGGTATGATTTATGTACTCTCTACCCTACCCAGTCCTCACTTATGGATCATAATGGATTGTTGTTGTTGTTGTATTAGGGTGACCCATTGTATCCTAAGATGTTTTTCATGATTGTAAGCTTAGAAATATCTTGGCAACGATCATTATTTCTATATTAATTGGTCCTTCGTTTTGTTCCAATTTCTAGACAATTTGTCAGATTGCTCAGAAATGGAAAATGCTGAAGCCAGTCCTCTCAAAAGATCCCCTCGGGGTTTGGATGAAACCTCGGAGGAAGACTACTCTTCTCTGTCTAATCTACTCCAACATTTTGCTAGCATCCCTACTGTTGACAAGGCATGGACTTTCAAATCTACCAGTGGTATGATTGCTATTTTCCAATCTCCCTTTTGTATATTCAAAACATTTTCACTTTGATGTTTGATTATAGCGGAGTATTATTTTTCCACTTTTGATTAAGAAGAATCTTGGTTCTATAAAAGGTGCTGAATGTCCCTCTTTTGCTTTTGCTGCACAAAAAGGTTCCCAGTGTATGTTCTCAATCAGCCAGCCAAATCTACTGGCCAACCAGAACAGGAGATACATATTATCTAGTCATATTTCGAAGGGAACAAATGGTGTAATCTTTGAGTGGGCTGCCTTCCCTATTGAGATGCCTAGCGGGTCTATAATGGTTCCATCACCTTCAGGTTCAAAGCTTCTTGTTGTTAGAAATCTTGAAAAAGATTCTCCAACCACATTCGAGATTTGGGGTCCATCTCGAGTTGAAAAGGAGTTCCATGTCTCGTCCTCTGTCCATGGCTCTGTATATTCAGATGGATGGTAAAATATCTTAATCCTTTTGTTCTTATTGATGTGATGTTGTTTGAAAGAGCATGAAGTTTAAGAAAGAAATACTTCTGAAATATATGGTCTAAAGTAAGTCGCAAGTATGTGTATGGCTGTAAATCCTCTCATTAATAAATCTGAAGTTTATAAAATCATTACTACATATAAAAATGTGTCACATAAATTGGAAGGGAGGGGAATCTACTTTCTAAATGTCGGATTTTTCACTTCACCATCGTATGGTGTTCGTTAGCATTTGACAATGCAGGTTTGAGGGAATTTCGTGGAATGATGATGAAACCTTTGTTGCATACGTCGCTGAGGAGCCAGCTTCCTCTAAACCCGTGTTCACGAATTCAGGCTACAAGAAAGGGAGTTCTTCAGATATGGAATGTGGTAGCTGGAAAGGTCAAGGGGATTGGGAAGAGGACTGGGGTGAAACCTACCCTGGAAAAAGAGAACCTGCAATTTTCGTGCTCAATGTTAACAGGTATGGCAAGTTATATTGTTTGCTTATATCAGTCTCAAGGGTAAATATTTGACTTCTCGTGCAGTGGAGAAGTACATCATGTTGAAGGAACAAATAATCTTAGTGTTGGACAAGTTATATGGGCTCCAGCTTCTAGAGGCTTGCAGCAATATCTGGTTTTCGTTGGTTGGCCATCAGATACTAGAAAGTTAGGCATTAAGTATTGCTATAACAGGCCGTGTGCCTTGTATGCTGTTAGAGCTCCATTTTCAAAATCAGAAGATCGTGAACCCGGGTATGTAATTTGATAGCTTCTCGAGATGAAAATTTTGTGGATCGGCTGCAACTGTATGATCTGTGTGAATATAGTGCAGAGGGGGCTAAGCTAGGGGAGAATTTCGTTATTTTCTTTTATTTGTATTCATCTTCATTGTTTTGATGGAGTTTTTTGAGATTTCAGAACAAATGCAATCAAAGAAGCATCTCCAGTTAAGCTGACAGAAAGAATAAGTAGCGCGTTCTTTCCTCGTTTCAGGTATATCTGCTTATGTTGATGCTAGAGATGAGATATGTATATGAATAAGAAATTCATAAGTTTGTGGAAGCATGTTCTACTTACTTTCATATTGTTCTTAGTTGATAATTATTGAGAATCAACAATAGCATCATTTCTAAAGTTAGTTTGTTGGGAAAAGTTAAAACTAATTGTTACTTTTACTGAATTTCCAGCCCAGATGGAAAGGCCCTTATGTTTCTGTCTGCAAAATGTTCTGTAGACACTTGGGCACATTCTGCAACTCAATCACTTCATAGAGTTGATTGGTCCATAGATGGAAAGCCCACCGCAGATGCTGACATTGTTGACGTGGTTCGCTCAATTTCTATGTTCTTCAAACTTTTATCAGCACTTCTGAGGCTAGTGAATAATCATTCCTTTGTGTACTAACTAATTTCTGGTGCAACACTTATGTGACAGGTTCCTGTTGTGATGTGTCCTGAAGATGGATGCTTCCCTGGACTCTATAGTGTTAAGCTTCTAAGTAAACCTTGGCTTTCTGATGGATATACCATGATTTTTTCTTCTGTATGGGGCAGCACTGAAGTAATACTTTCAGTGAACATGTCGAGGTAACTTTGTACAATGTGACTCAATTTTGACGGACATTATGGTGTCATGCATGCAAAAGCCCCTTATGGTCCAGTCCTTCCCCCGACCCGTGCATAGCAGGAGCTTAGTGCACCGGGCTGCCCTTTTTTTATTGTGTCATGGGATTCTTTAAATTTCCTCTTTGCTAATGATTGCTAGTTAATTGATAGTGGAAAGATGTCGCGCATTAGCCCTGGAAACTCTAGCTTCTCTTGGACCTTGCTTGCACTAGACGGTGATAACATTATTGCTGGTAAGACTTAACTTTTCTGTAGAGGGGTGCCTATGTTGCACAAAGTGTCTCTATTTGTGTTCTTCGTTTACTTGTTAATTATTATCAATCCAAGTTGAGTAAATCTGGTACTTTTCTCTTGTAAAGTCAGTAGCAGTCCCTCCGATGTTCCTGAAATCAAGTACGGTAGCATTGTTGGAAATTCATCTGCAGATGCCTTAGCAAGTTGGCAAAATATTTCAAGCCCCATATATAGATGCTCTGAAAAGGTTCATCTGATTTTTCGATTTTTTGCAAAATGTTTCATCCAGAGTGTTCTGCTCATTGTTTACTTGCAAGTATGACATTTCTGTAATTCATATACATCTGTAATGCTCACAGGTCACTTCTCTACTGTCATCCCGCCAATCTAGTATTATCAAAATTCCAGTCAGGAATATCACTGAGAACCTTACTGCAGGTATAAATCATCAGTCTGATGAAAATACTTGCTTTAATCTGTGAACAGTGGTGTTTTAACTGTTGAGAAGGTAAAATATTGAGTAATGGTAATTGGATACTTGCTCATGCAACCAAATAATTCGTTCTATTGAAAATTCTAAGCCTGTACTCCCTCTGTTTAACTTTTTTCAGGTGCCAACAAGCCGTATGAGTCTGTCTTCATATCCTCCAAGCGTAAGAGCCATGATCTATGTGATCCGCTAATTGTAGTCCTTCATGGGGGTCCTCACTTCATTTCATTGTCAAGCTTCTCGAAATCCTTAGCTTTCCTTTCCTCAATCGGTTACAGCTTGTTGATTGTTAATTACAGGTGAGAAACTTTCCATGCCTCTATACTTGTAAAGCATGTTCAATTTTATATGCATACCGATAATTAAATACTAGTAATGCATACGAGATAGCTATATGAATGCTATAAGCTGCTAGAGCGAAGCTCAAACAGCGGCATCCATCTTCTTTTCTTTTGATACATCTCTCTTGAAACTACTTATTGCAAATTCTGAGGAAATGTCTAATACTCCTCAATGCTATGGAGAAAATTGGTGTTCAATATAATTTTTAGCTTAAGATGTTACACTCAACATCTTTCTTGGTTTGTAGTATCAAGGAGATGTACAAGTGATAGTGGGTAATCTCAGAATTCACATGTTTAATCCAATGTCAAAGTCTGTCTGCACAATTTTTGCGACTAGTTCAGTAGAAAACTATTGCTAAAGAATCTAATTTTAGATGTTCTCAAAGTTGCTGATGTTGAGAAAACTTTGAAGTTAGCAACATCCATGTCTGAAAACAAGTAAAAGGAAACATGTTATACAAATTAAAAATCAAATGCTTACGAACAACCCTCAAAATTCTTTCCCGGACAACAAGATGCATATAATTTCAGAAGCTCTTCGATAACCAGAAACTTGTAAACCTACATTGATGTTCTGTGAACCATAGATTCTCCGAAATTCAGCGCAGACAAAGGCTAAAGCTTTAGAACTGTAGAAGATGTCTTCTTCATCATTGGCAATCCAAGCCAGACAAATCCTTAGATGGATTTGCTACTGTTCTAGAGATATTTCATTTGCTATCTTTTGTTTTTGGCTAGGCAACAGTTAATGACCTGATTAAGTACATTTTTTTTCTTACCTTATCTTAGAGGCTCCTTGGGTTTTGGTGAGGAAGCACTGCAATCTCTTCCGGGCAAAATTGGATCGCAGGTACTCTTCTGTAGTCCTCTTCTTTTGTTCACTTAAAAGATTGCTTATCAAGGATTTGAAACCTAAGATGTTATTGCTTGTTTGGATCTTTATGATACGTCTGCATGTGCAGGATGTTAATGATGTACTAGCTGCTATAGATCATGTCATAGATATGGGACTTGCTGATCCATCTAAAATAACTGTCCTCGGTGGTTCCCATGGTGGATTCCTGACAACACACTTGATTGGCCAGGTCTTCTAGTTATACGAATATTTATGGTTTCTAAAACGCACGTATAGTGAAGCTCGACAAGCTTGCGTATCTGAAAGACTATAGATTTGACAGTTTTACTACTGTTACTGCAGGCACCCGATAAGTTTGCTGCTGCAGCTACTAGGAACCCTGTCTGCAGCCTTCCTTTGATGGTTGGAACAGCTGATATTCCTGATTGGTGCTATGCAGAGACGTTTGGACATCTCGGAAAATCAATGTATACTGAAGCCCCATCGTCTGAACACCTTGCTGTCTTTCACAGCAAATCACCAATAGCACACATCTCCAAGGTCTGCTCTAATAAACAAAATCTGGATTTGGAAAAGCTTTCCATTTTACGCAACTGTGTTCCCCGTCATAGTGAAGTCGTCAAAGTATTAAGTTTTTCTAGATTTCAAGGATCATGTCCCTATGGATGTATGTCTCGATCCTATTTTTGTGAATGCATTTGCTACATCCATGTTATCTAATATTGCAGGTCAAAACTCCTATACTCTTCTTGCTAGGTGCCAAGGACCTTCGTGTACCAATATGTACCGGCTTGCAAGTAAGACTTAATATAATCCTCTTCTTGTTTCTTTTATCAATCACATGTTTATGTTTCATTATCAACATGATATTGGCAAGTTTATATTCTTAAGACTTAAGCGTATACGTTATATGGATCATTCATTTGCCTTAACATAACAGAACCATCAGCTCTGAACATGACTCACTACTGCCCCAATTATGGTTAGTCGGTTTTCATAAGAAGTAAAATTTCAGAGAGTAAATGGTTTCTCTTTTTGTTGTACGAAGTATGCACGTGCGTTGAAGGAGAAAGGATCTGAGGTAAAGGTGCTGGTGTTTCCAGAGGACAATCATGCAATTGATAGGTAAGATGGTCCTGTCCTGAACCAGTTTATGTGCATTTTTCATGTTTGTTTACTTTCACTTCCTACTGGAAACTGGACCTGTTTTCCGTCTTTGCAGGCCACAGTCTGATTTCGAAAGCTTTCTTAACATTGGAGTGTGGTTCAAGAAGCACTGCAAATAGACAGATACGATTCATTTCTTCACCAAGATTTCCAACAGGTCAATTTTAGACCTCCTCCTCAAGAAGAACGACGATTATTTTCCTTCTGTGTTCATGTTCAAGCTCTCATCTGAGTTGAACATATGAACATGACTGGCTAATGGTAAACTCAAATGTATATAAATAAACAGTTCCTATGTTGTACACTTCAATAAATCATCAAAAGGTGTTTATCTTTGAACTTTTGTGTAGCAACTTGTTTCAAAAGTACTGGTCAAATGCAAGAACAAATTGCATAAATTCCAACTGTGTAATCAACTTCAGAATACTACTCCCTCCTTATCAATTTGTTTGTTTGGTTTTGGCTTGACGCGGAGTTTAGAAAAGAAAATAAGACTTTGTATCTTGTGGTCGTAACTTAAGAAATGTAGAATAATATCAAAACGTTTTTAAATCTTGTGATCTTAAATATGTTGTGTCTAAAGTTAGAATAAAAGAGTTGCAAAAAAAAAAGTGACATTCTTTTGAAAGCGGATTTAAGACAAACGAAATGAAACAGAAGAATAATATGTTTTATGGAATGGTTTCACGATATTATCTAAAATGAAAAGTGTCACATACTAATCGATTTTAGCTCGTCTCTTGGTAGGTATGCTCACAAAAGCTAAGTATTGACATTGTTAATTCTTGCCACAAGACTCATTTATTTTTGGTTGATTCACAATAATTTTCAACAGCTAATGGTAAAATAATGTATGTAAGTTTGAATTATTATAATTAAATAATATTCCTTTCTAAAAGATTAATTATGCCTTTTTTCTTGATAATTTTTTTGTAAAATGATTCCTATTAAAGTTTATTGAATTTTTCTTCTTTTGACTCTGCAAAGAGGTGAAACTTTGTCCATATTAATTAAGAATAATGAATTACTTAATTTTAGGATTTGACAGATACTCCTCCATGTGAATATTTGTTTTTCAAGAACTAGTAGTTTAATTGAAAGCATATTATAATGCAAATGAGTGAATTGATACTTTATGCTAATAATGTCTGTCAAGATAATATTTCTATTAATAATTCATTGAATTAAGATCTAATTTTTTTCTTCTATTTAAAACATCAAATACAGGTTAGATTACAAAGAACTTATCTAAATGTAAGGAATTTTCCTAAAATTGGCTAAAAAGTAACCCTCATTTATGATATAATGAGAATTATGAAACTAATAATTACGGTTGAATGTTGACGTATGATTAATACTCATTTATTTTTAATAAAAGAAAATTTTCATTCCGCTACTAAATATCAAGTTTTTCAAGGATTATTCCTTATTTATAATGATTTTTATTTTTTGTCGTTCAAATTTATGAACTTTAATATTAGTTCTTGTTGCTCATTCAATGAAAATTTTAAGATCAAAGTATTTTTATCAATAACCAAATTCCACTTAGCATAAGTTAAGAAAATTTTTATGTAGAAACTAAATTATGTCTTGTGGGTTTTAAAATTAAACTTATGCCTATATCGATATTAGTTTTATAAGAACTAAATTATGTTTTTTACAACATAACTTAAGTTATATTATGATACGAAAATACAAACTTATACGATAATGTCCCCTCCCCTAACAAAACCAACTAATAAACATTGGGTGGAATAAATAAAGAAAATTTAGTTATTAGATGCTGTTGGCAAGTGGAACATAAACTGACAAAAGTGATCACTTCTGCTGCTTCTTCTTCTTTCATCCATTTTCATTACAATTCTCCATTTTCCTATCTCTATGTAAGTTTTCTTGATCTGAATGTGCAAGTGTGAATATCAAATCTACTGAATTGTGTACTGTAGGTAATTATCAGTGTGTTTTTTCTACACCTTGTTTAAATGCTCTTTCTATAGTTTCTGTTAGCCAAGCTTTGATTTTTATGTTCAGAATGAACTGAGAAATCCTAAAATTATTACAATTAACAACAAGAATGTATCAAAGAAGGAAGGCTGAAGGAATTTGATTCCTTTTCTTTGTTTAATTATAGTGGGAATCAAGATTGAAGAGAGAAGTGATCAGATTGTGTTTTTGTTTTTATCTGTTCAGTTGTTACTCCCTCCGTTTCAATTTATTTTTCTGATTTTGACTTGATACAGAATTTAAGATAGTAAAGAAGATTGTCGAATCTTGTGGTTTTAAACTATAAGATATATAACAATGCACCTAGATGTCATGTAATCTTCCAAGTGATTCTGCCTGATTGAAACTGAAAACTTTTTCAGTTTGCTTGCAAATGGAAAATTCTGGAGCAAGCCCTTTTAAAGATACTCCTGTTGGTTTAGATGCAAATTCAGAGGAAGAGTACTTTTCTCAGTCTACATTACTCAAAGAGTTTACTGAAATCCACACAATTGAGAAGGCATGGACTTTGAAATCTAACAGTGGTATTGCTACTTCAACTCTGTCTAGATATTTTGTCGTACCGGTTCATTCCTGTATAGCTTTTATTTCTTATGTATATCATGATCTATGAGAAACAAAAGATGAATTGTGGTGTTCTTTTGGTTGTTTTGTGGCGTCCAGGAGCCTCACAGGTTATGTTCTCAATCAGTCAACCTAATATCCTGGAGAACAAGAAGAGGAGATATGTATCATTTAGTCACATTTCCAAAGAAAGAGATGATTCCGTGCAGTTTCGTTGGGATGCTTTCCCTATTGAGATGGGGACAACATCTTTGATGGTTCCCTCTCCATCAGGTTCAAAGCTTCTCGTTGTTCGAAATGCTGAAAAAGATTCTCCTACATGCTTCGAGATTTGGAGTTCATCTCAGGTGGAAAGGGAGTTTCATGTTCCTTCATCTATCCATGGATCTGTATATTCTGATGGATGGTAAATTAATTTACTATCCAAAAACACTACTTGCATTTTCTTACCATGTTCTCTTTTCATTGTGGATACTTGTTACTTCTTGCTACATCCTACAACCAGTTTAATGCTACAATTTAGTAACATTATTAAGAGTTGTTAGTTGTTATATCTATCGGTTGCCTGGTCTCAGGTTCGAGGGGATTTCCTGGAATTCCGATGAAACTTTGATTGCTTATATTGCTGAAGATCCTGTTTTTGCAAAACCAACATTTACATATTATGGCTACGAGAAAGGGAATTGTCCATATAAAGACAGTAATAGCTGGAAAGGACAAGGAGATTGGGAAGAGGGTTGGGGCGAAGCATACGATGGGAAAAGGCTACCTAAGCCTTTTGTCCTCAGCATTAACAGGTTAATTTTGTCGCTAATGTCTTGCTTAAGTAGTTCTGGAAAATTATTATCATGTAAATTTGACGTGGTAACTGTTAAATGGACGTTGTGCAGTGGAGAGGTACGCGCTGTAGATGGCATAGAAAAGTCACTGAGTGTTGGGCAAGTTATTTGGGCTCCATCAGCAAAAGACTCATTACAATGTCTAGTTTTTGTTGGATGGCCATCGGGCAACAGGAAGTTTGGTATCAAATACTGCACTAATAGACCTTGCTCTTTGTATGTTGTTAGAGCTCCTTGTTTCAGATATGAACCATGTCAATCTAGGTAAGTTGCTTGCTCTGAAGAAGCCTTTCCTTTTTCAAAGATATTGACAGCATGCTTACATTATACCATTCATTTCTGTTTCCGCTGAACCGATTAAGTATTTATTGATATGTTCCTTTGATAGTCTTGTTATTTGATACTTCTCTTATCAGAACAGATACGAAACTATCAGCAGTTGTCCTGACAGAAAGCATAAGTAGTGCATTCTTCCCTCGTTTTAGGTATGTCTGCTTGTTAGAATTATGGATCTGAACAACCGTTTTAACGTTTACATTGTTCTATCAATTTAGTGGAAAATATCTTGTAAATTGGTGATTTTAAGTTTAAACAACTTTTTTCAGACTATAACAGAAAATCTATTAACCCATTCTTATTTTTCTCAATTCTCAGCCCTGATGGAAAATTCCTGGTGTTTTTATCTTCAAAAAGTGCTGTAGATTCTGGAGCACATAATGCAACAGATTCACTTCATAGAATTGATTGGTCCATTGATGCAGAGCCATATCCGCGTAACAAAATTGTTGATGTGGTATTATTTTCCTGCTTTGCTCACAAACTTATATGAGTGGTTGAACCTTGTGAAAGACTTAGCACTTACAACTCTTATTTTTGTTATATCAGTACTTTTGAGTTAAGTAATGAAGTTTCGCAAGAATGGACTATGAATTTGTTGTTTGTTGCTTTTCCATTTCTCCGAATTATCCTTGAATTTGTTGTTTCACTTGGTCCTGCTGGTTATATTAGTAGGTTCAATGACCACTGTAGGTTCCCGTAGTGATGTGTGCTGAAGATGGAAGCTTCCCTGGGTTATACTGTTCAAATATTCTTAGTAACCCGTGGCTTTCTGATGGATGCACTATGATTTTATCATCTGCCTGGGGCAGCACCCTAGTTGTACTAACCGTGGATATCTTGAGGTAAAGCAAGGAAGCCATTCTATCTCCGTTGTACTCAAAACGTTATGTATCTCTGTCTGTGTTCAATCACATGCTCATTTACTTTCAGTGGAGATGTATCGCGAATCAGCCCATGCACATCAGAGTTTTCATGGGATGTCCTTACGCTGGATGGTGACAATATCCTTGCAGGTAAGAGTCAATGTTGTCCTTTTAACTTACAACAACAACTATGCCTCAATCTCAAGCAAGTTCAGGTCGATTGTACGTATCGTTACTGACCATGTTGCTCTATTTAAGCCAACTTTTTAACTTGTCAAAAAAAAAGAGTACAGGTTAACACCTGAAATCTTCTGTCTGATATGCGTGAAAATGTATTGCGGAATGAAAAATCGATAAGAGTTTTATGGTGCTGTTTATTACTTTGAAGTATGTAGCAGTCCAATCGATGTTCCTGAAATCAAGTATGGTCATCTTGTCAAAAATGCCTCCGATAACACCAAATGGAATTGGCTAGATATCTCAAGCCCCGTAACCAAATGCTCTGAAAAGGTGAATATAATGTCCATATTGTTTAAATCCTTTTGGCTTGGGCTATAACGAATAAAGTCTAGCCAGTCCTTACATTTTTCTGTGATTCTTCAAAGGTGAGGCATTTTCTGTCATTTAAGGAGTTTTCTATAATGTCGATTCCTGTCAGAGACGCGTCGGAGAATCTCACAAAAGGTACACTTGCATAGTATTTATCAGAATAAAAATCGTATCCTGGTCCCGTGAAACTAAAGATGAATCAACAGATGTAATAGTTATTTTCAACTCACCTTTTTGTTTCTCTCTGCTCCTAATTTAGTGCATAAATCTGATTAATGGTAGGTGCAAGCAAACCTTATGAAGCTATTTTTGCATCCTCCAAATCGAAGAAGCATGATGCATGTGACCCGATGATTGTAGTCCTTCATGGGGGTCCTCACTGTGTGTCATTGTCAAGCTTCTCAAAGTCTTCAGCTTTTCTTTGCTCACTTGGATTTAGCTTGCTTATTGTAAGTTATAGGTAAGTTAAAAGAGTACCATAAGCACCTTTTGGCATCCGCTTATCTGTACTATAACTTGTGCTGAACTAGAAGATGCTGTTGCACATAGTTAACCAGTTTTAATCTCTCATTAAGATAAACTCATAAGTAAAGCATTATCTTTGATTGTATTACAACACGAATATCTAATTGACGTCTTCCCAGAGGTTCCTTGGGATTTGGTGAAGAAGCAGTGCAATCTCTTCCAGGGAGGGTGGGTTCACAGGTGCTTTTTTGTCCAACCTTCTTTATGGCAATCGATTTCGATTCATATTTATCTGAAATGAGGATATTTGTTTTAAATTCCTTTTCATTGTTTCATATCCACAGGACGTTAATGATGTACTTGCTGCAATAGACCATGTCATTGGTATGGGACTAGCAGATCAGTCCAAAATTGCTGCTGTTGGCATTTCTCATGGTGGATTTTTGACAACACACTTGATAGGCCAGGTTGGGTAGTTCACAAACAACCTGTTTCCTACACCTAAATCCATATCTAGTAAATGTTTGTGTATGGGCCATTAGACCATCCGTTCTGATAATTCGTCTATAAGGTGATTGTAAAAGTTAAAATTATTCTGTTCTTACAAATGCACCCATGCAGGCACCAGACAAGTTTGCTGCTGCAGCTGCTAGGAACCCAGTCTGCAACTTTGCTCTAATGGTTGGTACTACTGATATACCTGATTGGTGTTATTTTGAGGCATTTGGAAGTGAAGCAAAATCAAGCTTTACAGCAGCACCTTCAGCTGAACACCTTGCTCTATTCTTCAACAAGTCTCCAATTTCACATGTATCAAAGGTTTGATTCATCCGTTTGTGTTGTTGTTATCGTTGAATAAGGCTACTAGATTATATTCCACAGGCGCGTAGAACTTGGCAAACTGAAAAATGTGTAGATTATAGTATATCATTTTTCATATGGTTCCTTCTATTAATCATTGACAGTCAAACAAAATGGAGCTGGGAATGGAAGGGAAAAAAAGAAAAACACAGTTAATTCCTTTTAGATATATGATTTGCTGGTGCCAGTGGCGGAGTCGCCTTGTGTTAAGGGGTGTCTCATCGGAAAATTACACTGTTTAGCTAGGTCTCCCGTAGCTCCGTCATTGTTTTATTGATACGTCTATATTCACATAGAGGTTATCCTGCAGGTCAAAACTCCCACACTCATGCTTTTAGGTGCTAAGGACCTTCGCGTGCCCATTACTGATGGATTACAGGTATGTACTTCTCTTTTCTTTTGGGGGGTCTTACGATTAAACTAAACAATGGAAAACTGAGTATACACCACAAATTCAATTGCTTCCGTAGTTGCACTTAAACGTGTCACTGCTTATTATTCTCTATCGCTTGAGTTTCCCATTCCAAATTTATCCGAGTCTATGATGAATGATGCATTCTCCTATGATTGAGACTCTCAAAGAACTACTCATTCAGCTCATTTGATGCAGTTAAATATTCCTACCTGTATGAACACTTCCTACAGTGCTCTCTAGCTCTTTTTTTCGTTCTACTAGAGGAACCTTACTATGTCTTGCCTAATTCATTGTTTGATATAATCATTTCATCTCGTAAACATTTCTTTGTTCTTCTGTATCTGTGTAGTATGCAAGAGCATTGAAGGAAAAAGGCGTAGAAGTAAAGGTGATGAGGTTTCCTGATGACATACATGAACTCGACAGGTAATTGTGTTCCTTCCCCTAATTCAAGAACTACGTTCCCCCCACCCCACCCGAGGAGATCATTAACGCATATACTCTTTTGACAGACCGCGAACAGACTTTGAAAGCTTTCTTAACATTGGACTGTGGTTTAAGAAGCATTGCTCATAGATTGCCAGATACTTCATGGTTAATTTGAAAACTGGTCTCCCAAGGAAATGTGTTGACTCAAATTGATCAATGATCAGACTACAGAACTGAGAAAATGCTTGTAATAATCTAACAAGCACTTGAATACTATATTACTCGGACTCTTTACAAATGCATCAAGTGCATGTCATATTATATTTTTACGATCTAACATGGCTGGCTGCGTGTCATTTTGGTTGAGTCCGAGCAACAAATACATAGTGCACTTCTTGACAAATGTATTTTTTTTTAATCACAAACATAAAGGCAAAGGACTCTTTCCAACTTCCAAGTGTAACATCAAAAATAACAGAAATTCAGTATGTCAAAGACATAAAAGAAGTGAATAATTATCTTTTTATTCGGAAAGAAAACATTTTTTTAATAAATAGTTAAATGGAGAAGTGTTTTTAACGAGTTTATAAGCTTAGTCAAACACACTCGTACCAAAACAAATTAAAATCAGCCGTCTATATGGATCGAACCCATGACCTCCTTGTTAAAAATCAGCTAAAATGGCTTACTACTGCTTGTGATAAATATTTAACCCATTCCTATTCGTCTTCTTCACATTTTCTTTCTTTTCCACCATTTTCTTCTGCAGCTCCTAATGCTTTTTCTTCCTTCATATCTTAACCTGAAAGATTGAGAAAAATGTATGTGAAGTTTCAGTATGTTGACACCAGTAATTGTTTCTATATACTGAACTCAACTAAACCCACTCCCAGTATTGGAATTTCAATTCCACCCACCAAGAAATATAAGGACCAGAACAAATTGAATGACCCAAATGGAAGAATTGAGAAAAGCAAGAATCTTGGGGTCAAATTCAGGCCGGGTGTTGGGTATGGTAATGATGTAAAAGAGAAGTTGGATTATCAAATTGGGAAAAGCTCGCATACCCGTGTTTGGAAAAATGGTGATTTGAAGACCCAAAATGGTTTCTTGAGTAAACCAGTTGATAGAACTGAGTGTGAGGAGAAAATTGATGGTCAGTGGAGTTCGAGTAATGGGGTGCAGACCAAGTGTTCGAAAAAATGGCGCAATGAAGTGAAGGAGACCCAAAATGGTGTTTTAAAGACCCAAAATGATTTCTTGACAAAACCAGTTGATAGAACTGAGAGTGAGGAGAAAATTGATGGGAAATTGAGCTTGGTAAATATGGTGCAGCCCAACTGTTCGACAAAATGGTGTAATGGCGTGAAGGAGATCCAAAATGGTGTTTCTAGGAAACCTGTTGATAGAACTGAAAATAAGAAAAAAGTTGGTGGTCAATTAAGCTTGGGGAATGTGGTAGAGAAAGTACAGACTAAGGGTTCGAAAAAATGGGCCAGATATGGAGGATGTATTCCTGTTATGCTGGAAGCTTTGGAGACAGTTAGTAATTTGGATGAGGCATTGAAGCCATGGGAAAAGAGTTTGACTAAAAAAGAAAGGACTATTATATTGAAGGAGCAGGTGCAGTGGCAACGAGCAATGGAGATTTTTGAGTGGTTTAAGAGAAGAGGATGCCATGAATTGAATGTTATACATTATAATATTGTACTTAGGATTCTTGGGAAATCACAGAGGTGGGATGAGATTCAGAGACTGTGGGACGAAATGAGGAAAAGGAGAGTTGAGCCTATAAATTCAACTTATGGGACTCTGATTGATGTCTACAGCAAGGGTGGGCGTAGGGAGCAGGCAATGGAATGGTTGAAGTTGATGAATGAAAGAGGTATGGTACCAGATGAGGTGACAATGGGAATTGTTGTTCAGATGTATAAAATGGCGGGGGAGTTTAAGAAAGCGGAAGAGTTTTTGAAAAAGTGGTCTTTATGCAAATTCCAAGTGGAGGAACGTGTAAATGGTGGACCAAGAAGTGGTATTAGGGTCAATGGTTCTTCTGGTTCAAGTGTTTGTTTGAGCTCGCATACCTATAACAATTTAATTGACACTTATGGAAAGGCAGGACAAGTGAAAGAAGCATACGAGACTTTTCACCAGATGCTGAGGGAAGGGATCCTACCAACAACAGTTACTTTCAATACAATGATTCACATGTGTGGTAATAATGGCCGAATGGAAGAAGTTGCTTCCTTGATGAGGAAGATGGAGGGGCTTCAGTGTCATCCTGATACAAGAACATACAACATTCTTATTTCCCTACACGCCAAGCATGACAACATAGAAATGGCTGCCACCTACTTTAAAATTATGAAAGATGCTTCTCTAGAGCCAGATGCCGTGACCTATCGCACTCTTTTGTATGCATTTTCCATAAGGAATATGGTTAGTGAAGCAGAGAAGCTCATTTTGGAGATGGATAAGAAAGATCTGCAGATTGACGAATTCACTCAGTCAGCTTTGACTAGGATGTATCTAGAAGCTGGGATGGTAGAAATGTCATGGTCCTGGTTCCAGAGGTTTCATTTTGGAGGAAAAATGTCTTCTGAATGTTATTCTGCGAACATTGATGCCTTCGGTGAACGTGGCCATATTTCGGAAGCTGAGAGAGCTTTTAACTGTTGTAGTGAGGGAAAAAGGCTAACTGTTCTTGAGTTCAATGTAATGATCAAAGCGTATGGAATCAGCAAAAAATACAACGAGGCGTGCTACTTGTTTGATAGCATGGAGAAGCATGGCTTATCTCCTGATAAATGCAGTTACAGTTCACTCATCCAAATGCTAGCTGGTGCAGATCTGCCTCTGAAAGCAGCATCTTATGTGAGGGAAATGCAGGAGGCGGGATTAGTTAATGATTGTATCCCTTATTGTGCTGTGATATCTAGCTTTGTTAAAGTAGGTCAGCTGGAAATGGCAGTAAGCTTATTCGATGAAATGATTGTGTTTGGCATCAAACCTGATGTTGTTCTTTATGGTGTACTGATAAATGCCTTTGCTGACATGGGAAGTGTTAAAGACGCTACAAAATACTTGGTTGAAATGAGAAACTCTGGTTTAGAGGCAAATGCTGTTATATACACTTCCTTAATTAAGCTATACACCAAGGTTGGGTATTTGAGAGAAGCACAAGAAACGTATAAAATGCTTCAGTCGTTCGAGGCAGGGCTTGATGTATATTCTTCAAATTGCATGATTGACTTGTACAGCGAGCGCTCTATGGTTAAACAAGCAGAAGAGATTTTTGAACACCTGAAGAAAAAGGGAAATGCAAATGAATTTTCTTATGCAATGATGCTTTGCATGTACAGGAGAAATGGAATGTTTAAGGAAGCCATTCAAAATGCCCGGAAAATGAAAGAACTAGGACTTCTGACTGACTTGTTGAGTTACAACAATGTGCTTGGATTGTGTGCAACTGATGGGAGGTATAAAGAAGCTTTGGCTACTTACAAGGAAATGCTTTCTTCTGCCATCCAACCTGATGATTCAACATTCAAATCACTCGGAATTGTTCTTCTTAAATGCGGTGTTCCAAAGGAGGCTATTAATAAGCTGGAATCTATGAGGAAAAAGGATCCTCAGAGTGGCGTGCAAGAGTGGACTTCAGCCCTATCTTCCGTTATCGGTGTGCTTGATACTGACTCTCCTGATAGTAAAGATGCCTAGTTCTTTTTAATTATGGTTTTACGATAGGAGATGATTATATGTACCGTTTAAAAAAAGGATAGGAGATTGCACCATGGGGCTGGGTCTACAGAGATTAAACTTTATACGAGCACTCTCTCAAAGAGAAGCTGCTTCATACTCTATTGACACAGGTAGATTCTACTTAAGTGGCTCAAGCCTCTCATGTATTTTTCACAATTTTTTTGTTGTAAATACAAATATGTATTGAACCTTTGCCAGATCTAGGCATTATTTATTAAGCACTATCTCTAGTAGTATCCTTCAGTCTCAAATTCTGTTGTTGACTATAAAACTACATTATAAATGCTCTCTGAAATAGCATCTTCATGTACTCCACAAGCTTCTAGGTAACAGCAGCCTCGGTTTATAAAAACGCTGAGTTAATGGTTTGTCAACTCGTCAGTTGGGGATGCCTAGGGGGGTTCTCCTCTATTCAACAAGAAGCTCATACACATGTTGTACAGCTTGTAGTATTTTGTTATATGCTGGCCTACTGATTTTCTGTGCTGTATGACTGATTCCAATTGGTCCAAGAATCTTTTTCTGCAGTTCATTTATCTTTGTTTGCAGCAGCTGATTACCTGGTTGAATCTTTAGTTGAAATAAATATATTTTATTCACCCTTCACTGTATTCAGTTATTGGTCCCTCAGTGCATCTTTCCTGTTGAAACTGGGGGCTATCAATAATATCTCATTGTTACTTTCATTTAAATAGTCTTATTAAATATTAATAATTGAAAAATACCCTGTATACTGATTAGCATTCGTTATTCATTGTTACTTTTGCTCATTTCATGTCTAACTGTTGGTGCAACACCTATGTAACTAAGTAACAACAGGTTCCTGTTGTGATGTGCCCTGAAGGATCTTCCCTGGCCTTTAACTGTTTTAATCTTCTAAGTAAACCTTGGCTTTGTGATGGATACACCGTGATTTTATCGTCTGTCTGGGGAAGCACTGAAGTAATACATTTAGTGAATGTGTTGAGGTATTTCTAATGATAATATGACTGATATTATGATATGAATTTCTTTGAACTTCCTCTGGACTAATGATTGCTTGTTACTTTAATAGTGGAAAGGCGTCGTCACGCATTAATGCTGGGAACTCTAGCTTTTCTTATAGCTTGCTTGCACTAGATGGCAATAATGTTATTGCTGGGAAGACTTAATTTTGCTGTAGACTCGTATCTGTTTTGCATGAAGTGTTTATTTTGTATTATTCATTTGCTTGCTTATTCTGATCAATCGAATTTGACTATTCTGGTTTTTATCTGTTTCAAAGTCTGTAGCTGTCCCGCTGATGTTCCTGCTATCAAGTAGAGTCATCTGCAGAGGCCTCATGGAGTTCGGCTAGATATTTCACGTCTCATAAGTAAGTGCTCTTTTTTTTTTAGAATCCCGTATATTGATGCTCTCAAAAGGTTCTTTGTTTGTTTACCATTATTTGTATCATCCAGACTGTTCTGCTCAGTGTTTACTTGTGAGAATAACATTTCTAATATTCATATCCATCTATGACGCTCATAGCTTATATGTTGGGGAGATCAACTTCTTGCTATAACCTTATGCACTTGTGTCCAGATGAAAACACAT